CTTACCTTCAGGTCACGTGCTGCCGTTTTGCAAAGTGTGACACTCCTCGGTACGATCGTCCTTCCCATCCTCCAGTTTTTCGGAATTTTTCTCGTAAACTTCTCAGATTTCCTACTCTTCCCTCAGAAAACTATTATGGGGCGGGGAGGCGAGGGGGAGTAGGGTGGTATAGCGCTCTGGAACAAAAAAAAGCGAGAAAGGTCAACAACCGAAAACGTTTTTCCCAAAGGCAAATACCCGCTCCTCCTTCCGTCCGCACGCTGGATTCGACACTTCTGGCCGGGATTCCCACTGCGCGACGTGCCGTGCTTGCCCTGTTTGCCCTGGAACAGTTTCCTGTCTTTAAGCAATACTAATTATTTTCAACAGGAATTAGTATCTTATAGTAAGCCTGTTGAATCTTTATTGATAAACCTAGGCAAAAGATGACTCTCCCCATTAAACCTTCAGATTGAATGTTCTTACTGTAACACTTTCAGGCTCAGATTCAGTCCCGAGCTCGACGCGTTCCGAGCGTGGCGATGCAGCCGCAGCAACCTGGGCAACCGTTCGATCCAATGTATCAGGGCGTTCCGATGGGAGTGAATAAGTAAGTAATAAAATATGCAATAAGTAGAAAAAAAACCCGAGAAAATGTACTTGTTTCAGTGTTCCCGGCCAAACGCAACCACTGATGCGTTACCCCCAAAGCGCGATGGCTTCACCTTCGTACCCGATGCCTGCCAATGCTCGTCCTCCAGGTATGATGCCGTCGCCGGGATATCCCCAAATGGTAAGCATGCAGGAATAGTTAAACTAGGTCTTTGTGAATTATACATGACGTAACCGAAGTATACTGTAAGTTCTGTAGCAGCATCTACAGTTTCAGTATCGTGCTGGTGCTCCAATCCTCTATGGGCAAGTACAGCAACAACCTGCCCAACATCAGCAGGTACTGTATTCATACTGTAGCCTTGTGTCACACCCTAGTCCTGTTTTAATAGTTTCATTCTTATGCGTCTAGGTGGTCTCATACCCGAATCCAAACGCTCCGCCGGATGGAAGGTATAACGTACCGTACGCCTCCGACGGAATGCCCCCTGTGATCTTGCCAAAGGAAGTTAGTAATGAGATCATTCACCAGTGAAATGCGTGTTTTACTCTAACTCCAACTTATCCATTAAGGTGATAATGCGACCTTTTGGCCTGGAGCACAACATGAACCACCACACCTTTACATTCAATCTTCGACCGGAAATTATACAACAGTTACAATCGTGAGTTAATCGATAGCCAAGCTCATACAGAACCTCTTATTAAAATGGAGTTTCCAGGCCTTTCATTGACATTCAACTGAAAAGTTTCCATAAGGACGACAAGAAGATGGCCACCCAGTGGCCTCCAAAGCAAGCGCCCAACGGACAGTCTGTTCCTGGAACGATTCCCGAATGTAGTATTCAGGTGGGTAACTGAAATCCGCTGATATAATTTCATTGAAATCACATTCAAAAATAGGAACAAGCTGTTCCACTTTGCGGCTTTTCATAGCAAGAGTAAGCCACTTCGGCGGGCGGGGGAGGGGGGGGGGGGGGCAACAGGTGGTATTCAGCGAAGCATGTGCCAGCCACCTTGTAGAGACTTGTAAATTCTTGTGACAAAGTGATTCACTTGTACAATTTCTCAGCTTCATAAGAGTTTGAAGGTCTCTCTGAAATGGAACCTGTCACTTAAAGGCATACTCCGCGCTCAGAAATAGCGAGTTGCACTGCTCAAATACTAAGGACAACATGGTTAGTAGCTCTAAAATGAAGAGAAATACAGGAGAAAACTCGCTCGGAATTCTCCATATGAAAAATTATGCTGGACGCTTTTATGTGTGTTAGGCCGAGAAAAGGCGGGGTCGGACGAGTTCTCACTTGTTGATGTCAGCTGTCATATCACCTCAACCGCGACATTGGAAATGGATAGGGCTAGCGGAACAAGTGTAGCAATAGTAAGCCTTTAGAAATGAAAGTTGGACGTTATGGTGACCAGTGGCTCGGGCGGTGGCTTCGTCGCAAATGGGTCCAGCTTTTCTCCCGTATTTTTTGAGCTGCGAAAGTGGTCCGTCCCCTCTGTTTCGAGGGAGGACTTCCTCGTCAAAGAAGGCGTCTGAACATCAGATGAACGCGGAATGTGCCATTACCATTACCTAACATTAACAACATTTAACATTACCTAGCATAAGAAAGTAGCGAAACCTCAAAATGTCCCCCTCCCAAACCGAAGAGCGCCAACCAAGTCTTCAGTTCTGCTGATAATCTGATAATTTTTTGGTTAAGGTGTTAATAAATGGTCAAGTGCTGCCGATTCCTGATCTCAGCCGGTCGCTGTTCATCAAGCAAGTTGCAGTTCCCGGGCCCAATACAATCGAGTTCAATGTGAACCAATGTGTTTGCGTGAGTTTATGGTATTTTGTAGAATCGACTGTCATCAACTCGTTGACACATCATTGATATTACTTTATCATCGTTTTTTAGTCGCACTCATTCATCATGCAATTGGTTGTTCGACAACCATTGGCGAAAGTCACGCAGGATATTTTCGCCCGAACCCAAGGCTGTACTGCGGAAATGTGTCGCGATAAACGTGAGTGTTTACTAAAAATTCTTCATAGGATTGATTGGCATCAGCATCGGATAATGTCCCCGCGCCATCTTCCACCGTCGCCGATGCTGACGGTTGCAAATTGCTGACGTGTGATTGTTTTCGCTATCACTGCGGGGTTCAGAGATCGGTCTCGGCGCTAACGGTGGCCAACGGCCACATCATCACCGCCGCGCTTCCCCCATCGGTTTAATTTGGTAACTCCGCGAGAGCGCGTGACGTCAATCATTTGCTCACTTGCGCCTCACATCATTCAAGCGCCCTACGGAGCTCTGTTTTTTACAGTGTTGAAATTTGCACCGCCTTCTGGTCTACGACTGCCACTGGTGTGTGAACTAACGCACCGTAGAATGGCTATTCCTGCTCGATCCACACGTTGCGCCCATGCAGCCTGCTTCGATTTGGAGCCCTTCATTATGCAGCAGAACGAGAACTCACTCTATGAGTGTCACCTCTGCAGGTGGGTGCCATCCTGATCTTTTTTATTTGCTTCTTTTGAAACTATCCTAGTACTTCTTTATATTTTCCACATTAAAAAATTGCATCATATTCTTTCCCAGGTGATGAAGTTCTCAGTGACAGAGGCGGCACATAAAGTAGCCTAGGGAATGATTCACGGATGTTTTCCAAGAAACAATTATGAGACTTCTCTTCGCAGGCGCGTCTTAGCGGTTTTTTCATCCCTTGTCAATATATCCTCAGTACCGTACATCATTCCTATAACGTGCACACTGCAAGAATGTGCATCCCTTTAGTTCTGCTCCTTTGTATTTGTGCATGAAACCTAGGGAATTTGGCCTTTTTGCGCTCCACGACCGTGGCCAGCCCGCGTTAGTTTAGGGTTTTTACTTTAATAGGCCCCTGCCAATAAAGTTGTGCGGAGTCATCCAAAATGCGATGTGCTCTCAGCTACTTTAGTTCTCCACCCACGCTCGAAATTTGAGGGTCTTATTCATAACATCTAGGTGATCATTGAGCGGTTTGCTGGCTAGGGGAGCACTACTCGTACCCATCGCTCATGGGGCACGTCTCGTCATCATTATCTCACGAGATTTCGCATAATCTATTGAGCCGTTCTGCTAGGATAACATGACGCGTTAGCTGTGAATAATACAAACGCCTCACTCGATCCTGCTTACCCCCTCACACGTTCGATACCCCTAAGCGGGTGCATTAGAGGAACCTGGGCAGAATTTCTTTCAGCCAAGCCGACGTCGACCGACTGGGAAGTTCTGTCGACTTTTCCTTCTCAGACACGTTCTGAACATATTAGAAAGTGGGAGTTGCGTTGTGGGAGGGAAAAGGTTGGATCTCCCCCAGGTCTTCTTAGAGTTGCCAAGTTAATTTTCATATGCACTGGGAATTAGAATTGCGATACCTTTTTATATGAACGTCCCCTTCTAACGCCACCATCAACTTCAAAAAGTCTATAAGCAAAAAGTTCACGCGTTTAGGCTCTCCCTAGGGGTACTGCTCGATCCTCTTCTCGATATATTTCTCAGTCAACAAGGATGGTGTTAACCATCAGTATCGAAGTATACATAGCTGGTGTTGACATTTCATGACATTTTCATTTCATGACATGTCATTTCATTTGTTTTCTTGATATTTGTTGCTCGTTAGTAAGCATCTGCCTAGTATACGTCAGTGTTACTGCATCGCTTAGTCATCACACCTAGTTATACATCCCATTTTCCCATCAAAAACATCTTGCAGAGGCGAATTTTCGTCGAAGAAGTACAACCCCCACCCCGCAGCTGTGTAGGAATATCGCCAAAGGTCACATTTTATTATTGCTCTCTACCATTTTGACAGAAGCTTCCATTGTTAGGCAGAAACTTCAGCCAGATCCAAATACGAATCCTCTAGCCCGGTTGAAAATCCATTTTTGCAAGGATTTCAGTTTCACCCAACTACGATTCACAGCCTAAATGGGAGGTTCGCTAACTTCAAACACACCATTTCCTGCATGTGGAGTGTCCTGTGCGACTGTATTTTTTCGATAGTTGAACGGGTTGGTTAGGCGAACCGATAGATGACATGTGCTGATCTTCTCTACCGCGCATTCTGCATGAATGCCTCGTACGAAAGTTACAGCCGTGATCGGTTTTGTGAAAGGAAAGTTGGAGAGCGAATCGCCGATATGTTTTGAAGTATCTATATCTCCTACCAGGGTGCATCTCTATCTCGTTGCTTCACAGCAAAGGGGATCGCAGTATGAAGATCCTTTGTGGCTGAAAGGAGTAGACGCTGGCGAGAGGTACCGTATTTTTGGTTGTGGGAAAATTTACTGATGTGGATAATTTCTCTCCCTTTAAGCTATGTTACGTCCCACATCGCACTTACAGTAGAAATACTCTGTCAGTTGACTAGGGTGCGCAGGACTATTTTTGCTTTCGGTTCACTGGGACCTGTCCCCCACCCCTAGAGCGTGACGGTGTACTCTCCTCTCTATCCTGCTGAGTATGTGCTGAATTTTGCTTCTGTTCTTTGCTTTTCTAATCGGTTTCAATCACGTTAATGACATTTTCTGGTCACCTCTCTTTGAGCATGCCTTGCAAATTAAGCTTCCTTGGAATGAGCATCTTATGAGGCTTGATAAATTTTGCAGGGTATTTTTTTTTTATTAGAGACGAGCTAACCATATTCAAAAATCTTCTCGAAATCGAAACGATGAGAATAATTTTTTGACGATTTATAAACCCTCTAGGGGGATGCGCCATGTATTTTGCTTCAGTTCAAAATCGTAGTAGCATTTGCGATTGCGATGTTGCCTGAGCCGAAGTGGAGGTAAGGTTTTTCCTGCGAGAAAGGTCTGGCGTCATTTAACTGAACCCAAATGGATGGAAGTTTGGTTGGCCCAGGGGAGAGCCTATTCAGGTCATGGCCCCAGAACCGTGAAAGTAGTAAGCGACTCTATCTGCCAATGCATCCCTCCGCCCTCTTTCCAAAACTGGTGCAAATGCGAAATGTCCCTGGTACGCTCTTAATTCAGCCCTCTCTTATTCTTTTGAACGAGTCGAGAACCTCACTCAAGAATAGGAGATTTTTGCTGGATCTACTTATACTGGCGGCTCTTAGCTTAGCTGTGGTGGGAATGATAGGGTCCTTGGGGTAGTATTTCTCATTAGTTTTGATCCCTCGGAACCCTGAGGCTGGTTAAACATGATTTTGAAAGCGGATTTGATTCCTTCCCAAGTACCTCGGAAATTGGTTAACTGCTTAAATAATTCACTGTTATATCTTTTGAAAACATCGCACAGGTAGAAGTGCTTTGGGAGTGGCATGGATGGAAA